TTCGAGAAGCGAATAAATCAATAGATGGGTTTCCAAGTTTTTTGACTAACAACTTAAAAGCAAAATCGGATAATTCCCACTCAGTATCCGGATTTGAAATTCTGGACCCTTCATCGGCTGGATTTTCTTTGGATGCAATATATTCAGCGAATAACCAAATTTCTCGAGTTTTACTCCATTCCCAAATTCTTTTTGACATTATGTGCAAGTCCCTATGTTTAATTCCTCCCATTTTGTTAATATAAGCCAATGCCGTGAGATTGTCTATTCTTAAGAGGATCTGTTTGTTAAAAAGTGAAGAGGCAAAACATTTTAACGCTAAAAATGCTGCTTTGATTTCGAGATAATTAATGTGCATCATTCTTTCTTCCTTACTCCATAAACCCCTGGCCTTCTCATTTCCACAAGTGGCTCCCCAGCCAGACTTGGATGCATCGGAAAATATCTCGAGATCAAAAGTGCTAGTTCTAATTTTGTTTTTAGTTACAAAAATCTGAGAGTCCCACCATTTTAAATCACTAATTGCACTGTCCGATAAATTTGTAATCTTATTAGGGTTATTGTCAAAAAGATTTAGCGCTTTTCTTTTAACTAACTCGAGTTCCTTATAATACAACCAGCCATAAGCCACGGCAGGACAAGCTGCGACCAAGACACCTATGCTTTCAGCTAAATTTTGAATTTTTATTTTCCTGTCTGATAACAGCCTGGACAACATGTTTTTAATCTTTTGTCGTTTTTCTATGGGTAATTCCAAAGTCATATCGACCGAATTAATAATCATACCCAGGAAAATACAAGATCTTTTTGGAATCAAGTCGCTTTTTTCCCAATTGATGAGTAGACCGAGAAAGGATAATAATTCAATTAATTGATTTGTGTTTTCTATACATTCCTGTCTAGATTTACCAAAAATTAGAAAATCATCGAGATAAGCTACAATTCTAATCCCTCTTTGTCTCATCAAATTCAAAATTGGTTTAACTAATTTTGTAAAAACAAACGGAGCGGAAGTTAAGCCAAACGGAAGCGCATTAAATTGATATAAGATACCTCGATATCTAAACTTGAGATATTTCTTGTGATCCTCGTGAATCGGCACAAGTAAATATGCATCCTTCAGGTCTAATCTACACAAAAAATCACCCTCGTCAAGTAAATTGACAGCTGTTCGGATGTCCTCAATTTTAAAATGCTCTTTTTTGATAAAAAAATTTAGCCCTTTTAAATTTAATATGAACCTGTGAGATCCGTCTGGCTTATCTACCAAAAAATACGGGGACAAAAATTGATCAACCTCCTTTTTGCATTTTTGTATGGCACCGGAATTTTCTAATTTTTCGATTGAAATGTCCAAACTATTATTTGGACTTAGAGAATGAGGTTCATCATTTTGAAAAACTATTTGTTCAAAATTTAGCCGGTAACCTTTAATGATTCCCAAAACAAAAGTATCTTGAGTGATTTGTGACCAATTTTTAAAAAAATATTTTAATCTAGCAGCAGAACTTACTTTGTCGATTACTTCCTGGTTCTCTGTGGTTGAGATTGGGAGTAATATTTCTTTGCCGGATTTTTCTGGCTGCCGGAACTGCTCTGTTGATTCCTGGAGGTGCTGTATCGCTGGTTGTAGTTTGAGCTCCCCCGATTTCCCTCCTTTTTGATCGTGGGGCTGCGCCAGTTTAAAGACCTGCTCGGCGGGTTTTTAAAAGTTGGTTTGGATTTCGGTTTTAGCTCCTTAGAGACTTTTTCCATAGCTTTTGAAGTCTCTATTAGAGCTTTTAGATTGTCGCCGAATAAGAGAGTAGTGGGTTCGACATTTCTGAGAATTTTTTGAATTCTCTCTTCGTATCTGCCGAGAAGGAAAGTTTTGCGAGCGAGTGTCAAAGCAGAGTATAATTCTGATAACAATTTTAAAGAGTTCGAGAGATTTTTTAAAACTTCATCGCGATCGAGATGAACCTTCGCATCGTCAAGAATAGCACTGAAAACTGATGCACATCCTGATAAGGCTGCTCCTGTTAGGTTTTGATAACCTTTGAAGTAATCATCTCTTGCTAAAACTCTCGGAAGAACGTCGACAGTAACCTCATCGTTAAGCGCAGGCGCTATTAAATTTAATGCTCCCTTTCGTGGAACTGATGCTATCAAATTTTCTTTTACTTCTTTTTTTCCGATTCCGTCCTTAATCCAGGCTTTAATTCTGTTTGAAATGTCCTCTCTTAGCTTCAGTTCATCTGGTGATTTGACGGGTTCACTTCCCAAGAACAATTCAACCTCATTTTCTGACTCGCTTTCCTCCATTGGCGATTCAACTCCGTCCGCCATATTTTGTTGGTCGTGTTGCAACACGTCTGAAGGGGAAAATGAAAATTCGTTTATTTTATGAAAAGAGTTATAAGAGTCAGAAAATAATTTGCATTCCGTCCTTAATTCATGATTAAGGATCAGAGTTTTATTTTGACCCACGGCAACAGTTCCAGACTGAAGCTCGGTCTTTTTGTCAGGAGAACTTGTCTGTGACCTGGATCTGAATTCTAAAAAATTACCTTCGTAAGCTAATTCCTCTCCGGATTCCTCCATTTCCGCTAACTCTCCATATACAGCATTCATCTGTTTCTCTAATTCCCTCAATTGTTGCTGTTTTTGTTCCCTCGATGTTCCTGCGTCCGCGTTCATCTTGAAAAAGTTTTTAAAACAAGTGGTCGTCACCAACGCCAAGAAACGAATGAAGTCAAGGGGCAAAGATAGAAGGAGAGGGTAGAGCATCCGACTTTTTCGCTTCTATCTCTAAAAGGTGGCGTCATCTGGCAACAAGTTGCGGTACTACAAGTAACTAAGTATCTTCGAACAAGTAGAATGAAATATAATTAGAATTAAGGTAGGATAGGGAAGATGAGAGGGGGGAGGAAACGGAAGAAGGGTAGTTAATTTTTTGAAAAATTATTAAAAGTATCTATAATGTCAAGGTACATTATAGATAGGTTTTCTGTGTCAGTTCTAAAATTGATAGAACGTCTGTCTTTTACAATATGGAACATTTCTAGCAAGTTGAGGTTATATGGTTCACTAGAACAAATTGAAAGTACGTATAAATTAACACTACACCGTTCTAAAGGTTTTTGGGGTCACTAATCACAAATATGTTCTCAAATTAACAATGTGATGGTTGACAGCTGTCAAATAAACTGTCAACTTTGCTAAAAAGTAATTTGATTTTATACACTACCGTCCGAAATTGTGCGAACTCTGCTTTTTCAACAACTATAAAACTGTTCAAATCTTCAAAAATATTAAAACTAAAATTTTTTCCTCTTTATTTTATTAAAGTTAATAAAATTCTGAAAAAAATGACACCTTGACAAAGAGAATATGTTAATTTTTCATTTAGATATCTAAGAAAAACCCAATTTTCAATGTTTTTACTATTTTTTTTATTTCTCTGGCAAAAATTAATATTTTTAAACGTTCTTAGGCTCATTGAAATCGTATTTTGTTATGCAATTCAAATTATATAAAACTATTCATGTACACATTCTTCCCTAACGTATGCAAACCGTGAAAGTTGGCTCATAAAATGTCAAAAAATTTAAATTTAATTCTACAATAAAATATAATGTTTAAAAATCAAGTAAATATATCATTCTAAACTTCTCTGATTTATGTAAGTAAATTTAAAATTTATACATTTTCCTGATCATTTTTTGTCATATAAATATTAATCACAATTTTTTGACATTTTATGAGCCAACTTTCACGGTTTGCATACGCTAGGGAAGAATGTGTACATGAATTGTTTTATATAATTTGAATTGCATAACAAAATACGATTTCAATGAGCCTAAGAACGTTACAAAATATTAATTTTTGCCAGAGAAATAAAAAAAATAGTAAAAACATTGAAAATTGGGTTTTTCTTAGATATCTAAATGAAAAATTAACATATTCTCTTTGTCAAGGTGTCATTTTTTTCAGAATTTTATTAACTTTAATAAAATAAAGAGGAAAAAATTTTAGTTTTAATATTTTTGAAGATTTGAACAGTTTTATAGTTGTTGAAAAAGCAGAGTTCGCACAATTTCGGACGGTAGTGTAAGAATGATTGTAAGTGTGTTTTTAGAGTTTCTGACCACAAATTTTATGTCATATTAACAATTTGTCAGTTAACAGCTGTCAAATAAACTGATAACATTGCTAAAAAGTAATTTGGTTTACAAAAATGACAAAGTTTTTTTAGTGTCAATGATCAGGAATTTGAAGTCAAATTAATTATTTGACAGTTGTCAATTTTTAAAAGAAAACTGAAAATTTGGTAGAAAGTTTACAACTGCCGACAGCAAAATAAATTCATCAGGAAGGCAAAGGGAAATATGACTTAGTCAGTAAAAATTCTATGATTGAACATGTTGAGAAATCTCCAGTAAAGTTCACGAGATACTCTGTCTACAGCCATAATTAGTTTTAAAATCAGAACTTATATTCTGCTTAAGTCACTCAAAAGTATCCACATATGTGTCTATAGAAGTACAATGCCCATGTTTCATTTCCTATTAGCGACACAACTAAACGTTTCCTTGTAGACTGTTCTACACTCCATGAAAGCTCATGAAATACTCTGTCTACAGTCATAATTAGTTTTAATATCAGAACTTATCTTCTGCTTTCTAAAATTGATACTTTTGTGCATTTGGAATAACAAGTAACGTAAGCAACATGGAACCAAAACAGCCAAATTATTTACGTTGAAATTTGCAAGCACTCGTTCACGTCTCCGGCTGCAAAGCCAAAATAATCATTGGCTGCCTTTAACCTATTGTTACTTAATATACTATTTCTTGTGTGTACTGATTTTTTTTTTACTTTTGTTGGGCGAATTTTTTTGTTCATGTTATTAATTTTGTATCCATTTTCACCCTGAAAATAGAAATTTTATTTCAAATGTTGTTTTCTTTACTACATTTATGATATAAAATTAATTCTATTCATATTCATAATTTTAGAATCCAGTGGAGGAGAATGTGAGAGCAGCTTTACGACAATTAAGCGGTAATACTGGTCGACTTCAAGCCGAATGTTCTGGTCTTCAACGATGTACAAGCGATCCCGATCATATGGATCGTTGTTTACAACAAGTTCGCTCATGCGCTTATGATATTGCCAAAGCTACAAAACTTCTTGTCACTCAATTTCAAAATTCTTAATTTTTGATATAAATGATCAGAATCATAGTTACTAACAATTGTATTAATTATTTGATTTTAAGGTATTTCTCTAAGGTGCAGTTTTTTGAAAATTTAAAGAAACAAATAGCGTAATTGTTATGTGGTATAATAAAATGCTCATACTAATTGTAAGAATCGTTATTTACTAGAAACATAACCTTTCATTATGCAAACTGCACGCGTATGCTTGGGTAGAAAAGTTTCTAAAATTGAAAAAATTTACTTCGGTATGAACAAGATCTTCATACATATACGCTATAATGGCTGTAGAGTAATAATAACCAATAAAGCTTGCAGAAGTACCTTAAAGTTACCTTGTATTGTGATGTAAGTATACGCTTTTATATGTACAGTCTTTGAGAGGTTTCTTTATTGAAAATGTAGTAGGCATTACGTTATTTAAAGTACATATCTAAAAGCAAATTTTGGAAAATATATTAAAACAATATTTTCTTCTGCTGTAGTAATTACAATTTTCTTGTAGAATTACATTTGTATAAACGGGTAATTAACTAATTAATCACACTGATGAATAAGTTTCCGCATCTTAAATTAAAATATATAATTTAGGTACTGGTTTTAGTAAAATTAAAATTTAACAATTTAATAAAGAAATTAGTTATAGTTTTTAAATAATGTAAGTTTAAAAATGTTACAAAGTGTATTTTACCTTTTTAATTCGTGAGTTGTGATTGCATTCTCTTTAAAAGAATTTTTTTATTAATAATTATTAATAAAAGCTTGTTGAATTTTTTAAAAGACAGGAAAGTTAGTTTTTCTTTAATCTTATTCCTTTATGTTGTTTGTAGCTATAACTAATGGTTTTTGCATTAAAATGGTATACTTATTTGCCATACAATTGTTTGTTTATTTTTTATTGCAAAAAAACTACTTTTTTTATTTAACAATTAATATATTTCCATGATGATGCAAAAAATAGAATTACTCGTCCTTCTTGGAATTTTGGATTAATCAGATGAATTTAGAAAACAGCACTTGAAGTAAACTTGGAACTTGTAGAATAACTGAACTTGTAATAAATTTTCAAAGATTGAATTTTAAAATTTAGAATTCAGAAAAATAACTTGAGAATTTAGAATAACTCTTGAAGATTTTGAAGCGACTTTTTTGGAATTTTGAATGAGAGTAAATTTTGAATTTAGAATTTTTTAGAAATGTGAATGACTGACTAATTTACGTAAACATTCGTTTTTAAAGGTTTGTCCCCACTAAAAATTTTGAGTTTTAGCAGTGTTAGGGGTAGATTTTTGAAGGGAGAAATTTTTTGTAGAAAGGGAAATTTCTTGTAGGCGGAGAAAAAATGGAGTTAAGGAAACTTACTATTGGGTTTTCTCAAAGAAAATGGTGAAAATTTAAAAGAAAAATTGAAGGAAACTCATTTTCCTTTTCTTTCTATTGGGCCTCACTAACCTAACCCTTAAGGTAGGTCGGAACTTTGGGTTGTCACAGATTTCCAAAAGTAAGGATAAATTCTTAGAGAAAGGGAGATCATCTATATTTTGCATCATTTTCCAATAAGGCTAAATTTTCATTAAAAACAATAATAATTTTTATTATAATTTGTTATTAAAAATTATTATTTAATTTGTTTTACATGTCCATTTTGAATTTTATCGATACGCTGATTATTACGAAAGTTACAATTTATTCGTGTAATTTTTATAATTATTATTAATTTTCACTTATTTAGATATGTTAGGGTTAGAATTTGATGGGGAAAGGTTTCAGGTTTTTATGGAAATTAATTATAAAACAAGAAAATGACCTTTCTTATTTCAAATTCCGGTTGGCTAACAACATGCCCTTCGGATAAAATTAATTATAAAGGTAGTGGATTCCTCCTACTACCATTCTATTATTCAGAATGTCGTTGAGATTCGTATTCTTATTAGTACTCTTAATTTGATCAATCAGAAAAAAGGAAATATAAGAACTGGTTTAAATAAGAAGTCACAATTTAAACCCCAAAGAAGAACATGTATTTTATAAAGTTCAAATAGAATCAAAATGCTTTTAGTACATGTATCAAAATAATGGGTTTAATAGTGTGAATGTCTGTGTGGTGTAAATATAATTCATTAAAACTCACCAAAATCAAATCAATAACAAATCGATATTCCTCAATAATTAATCAATATTCCTCAATAATCAATATTCAGTAGATTAAATAATCAATATTTCACAAATGAATATTCCACAAATCAAATTTCACAAGTCAATATACCTCAAATCAATATTCAAAAGATCAATATTTCACAACTCAATAATCAATAACACTGGTCTGTAAAACAATCAAGCTACACAATAAAACAGTCCGCATACGACGAAATGAAAGCTTAATTATTACCCTTTGAGACCCTAAAACAAAAGATTAGGTAATTTAAACTTTAAAATATTGGGAACAGTTTTTGAACTGGCGGATGCCCGAATTATGCTCAATGCTTTCACGTGCATTTCCTAATGCATAGGACTGAACTTAAATTGTTTTTTTAGTATTTTTGGGCCGTTGACTACGAATTTGAAGTCAGGTTTCAAAATTTCAAAACGGCGGATCCAATATGGCGGACACGAAAATTAAAAAATCGTTGGGTTTGTCATAAAACTTGGTACTGAGGAGTTTTTGGGGTCGCTGATTACGAATTTAAAGTCAGATTTCAAAAATTCAAAATGGCGGATCCAACATGGCGGACACAAAAATTAAAAATTGTTGGGTTTGCCATAAAACTTGGTACAGGGGAGTTTTTGGGGTCGCTAATTACAAATTTAACGTCAGATTTTTAAAATTTTAAATGGCGGACCTAATATGACGGACACAAAAATTAAAAATCTTTCTGATGGTTATGAAATTTGTTATTGAGAAATTTTTAGGGTTGCTGATTTTGAATTTAAAGTCAGATTATGAGATTTCTGTAAGTTCCGATTTTTCGGTATTATAGAGTGCGCACTGACAAATTCGTTGAAAATGGGAAATGTATTTTTTTAGTATGTAAAGCTTGTTTTTTTAAAAAGTTTAAGTTATTTTTGGGTCCGACATTTTGATTTTTTGAAATTTGACCTAAAATTCATAATCAGCTACTCCGAATATTCCCCAGGACCAAATTTCATGAAAATGCGAACGACTTTTAATTTTTGTCTCCGCCATATTGTATTCACCATTTAAAATTTTTGAAATCTAACTTTAAATTCGTAAATAGCGACACCAGAAACTCCCTAGAATCATGTCTCATGACAATCCGAAAGATTCTCAATTTCTTTTGTCTGCCATATTGAATCCGCTATTTTAACTTTTTAAAATCTGACTTTATATTCGTAATCAGCGACCCTGAAAACTTTCGAATACCAAGTTTTATCAAAATACAAACTTTTAATTTTTATATCCGCAAAATTGAATCCGTCAGTAAAATTTTTTAAAATATGACGTTACATTTGTAATCAGCGACCCCAAAAACTCCCCTGTACCAAGTTTTTTGGCAAACCCAACAATTTTTAATTTTTGTGTCCGCCATGTTGGATCCGCCATTTTGAATTTTTGAAATCTGACTTTAAATTCGTAATCAGCTACCTCAAAAACTCCCCAGTACCAAGTTTTATGACAAACCCAACGATTTTTTAATTTTCGTGTCCGCCATATTGGATCCGCCATTTTGAAATTTTGAAACCTGACTTCAAATTAGTAGTCAACGGCCCAAAAATACTAAAAAAACAATTTAAGTTCAGTCCTATGCATTAGGAAATGCACGTGAAAGCATTGAGCATAATTCGGGCATCCGCGAGTTCAAAAACTGTTCCCAATATTTTAAAGTTTAAATTACCTAATCTTTTGTTTTAGGGTCTCAAAGGGTAATAATTAAGCTATCATTTCGTCGTATGCGGACTGTTTTATTGTGTAGCTTGATTGTTTTACAGACGTTCAAAAAGTGCCAAAAATGCAGTTTTTGACACCTTTAAACCTAAATTGCTCGAAAACTAGAGCCAATTCAGCATTTTCATGGCCAGATTCGGATTCTACGGACAAAATCCTATAAGAATCGGCTGTAACCCTTTGGGCTCCATGAAATTCTTGAAATTTTGTTGGCCTGTGTAATTAACTAAAAGAATTTCTCCACTGAGAGAATTCTTTTACAATATACACTTTAAGCAACCCCAAACTGTGGGTTGTAAACTCCGTTTCCACTTGAGACCTCACACTCTCCAAACCTTTACCTTAACTGCCTGTATTTTACATTAACAATTGGTTTTATTAATTGATGAAAAGGGTGGGAAATTATAATGAAATTGTCTGTCGCTAAGTCGCTTCTTGCAACCTTGTAATTTTGGGTAGAGGTGTGATCCACCTTCGATGAGCGACTCTTTGTATTGAGAAATTATGTTGCTCAATTTATACTTTGATTTATGAAATGATTGAGATATGCATTACCTCTTCAGTTTTTGACTATCATCTTTATTTTTCCATGTGATAAGCTGGTCGCAAGGTTGCTTCAAGCTTACATGCTATCTGGGTAAGCAAAAGAATTGGCCGCGCATAGCGCGCGAATTGTATACTAGTATTACATTAATATTAAATGACAATATTGCAAATATTGCACGGCAATATGATAGAATATTGATATTATCTCCGCCCAACGGAAGTATTGTGTGATGTGTTATTTTGAAATGAATAAAAATTGAAATATTATATATTGAAAAAAATATACATCATATATTTAATTTTTATTTTCAATATTTATATATACACTGTTAGAAAAATCCAAGGGAAATTTAATATACTTGTGTGTGAAGTAATTTGCAATTACTGTATAGTAAATTTAATATACCACAATGTATTAATATTAATACACCTTCATATTAAACTTTAATATACAAGTGTGTATTAAATTTAAAATGCGTATATTAAATTTAATATAATTCAATGTGTTAATATTAATACACCTTTATATTAAAATTTAATGTACATTAGTATATTAAATTTAATGTACTTGGGCATATTAAATTTGATGTACGATGGTACAGTACAAATAATATACCTGAATATTATATTTAAAGCAACTTTTAAATATACATGTATATAAAATTTGCAATGCTTCTAAATGAAATTTAAAACATGTAAATTAAGTTTAGTATACGCCAGTATTGTAAAATTAAAATACAAGTATATGAAGTTCGACATAAGTTTATTTTCTATATAAATATATATAAATTACAATAAAACATTCATGAAGTTTCTCCATCAATTTTTAAAAATAAAAAATGTTTAACATGTAATAGTCTTTTTTCTTAAAATGTAACATTTAACATTTCTCAATCAGCTCCTGTATTCATCGGGCTGAATAGAAAATGCACTCGTATAATTCATTAATTCTTGAGATAAACGATAGACACTGGTATCATAGCTACGACCACGTCATTTGTATCCAGCGGCACGTTTATCTCCTGGAGGATTTATCCGAAAAAGTACTCTGCAAAAAGTATTATATTTTTAATAACAGTTTAAAAAATCAAATGCCATAAGAAAAAGTCTTATTAGGGTGTCCAGCAAAACTTGAGAAAAAAATTCCCTGACTTTTTCGACTTTTCCCTGACTTTCTTTTTTTAACTATTCAAATTTATTCTATTATAGCAAAGAAATTTTTCATTGACTATTAACCTTAGATATTAAATAAACATTTACATTTCAATAATTAAACTCAGCAAAATTTTCAATATTTTTATATATTTAAAAAATTGGAAGTTCCTTTTTTCTGAACATCTTTTGAAGTTTTATTTAGGCAATTATTTTAATTCAGATTTTCAGTCAAATTCTGAAGTTCAAGTCGTAAAATATTTTTTAAAAACTCATGAAAACTCAATTCTTGAAAAATTATTAAGTCAAATATATAAAATAATTTTTGAGTTAGAAAAATTCTCAGTGTTTGAAAACAAAAAATTTTTGAAAATATGTTTAACTCAAAAATAAATTTTCAAAAATTATTTAAAACTAATGTTTGATTAAAATTATACATTGAAATTTAATTGTTTAAAATTTTGATTTATTAAAATTTTAATTGCTCATCTAAAGTTTTGGGTAATTTAATTTTTAAGTGACTAAAATGTGGAAAAATTGAATTTTCAATTGATCAAAACTTGGAGTAATTGAATTTTCAATTAAATAAAATGTAAAATAATTGAATTTTTAATTATAATTTGGAGAAATTTAATTTTTAATAGATAAATATTTTAATTAATTAAAATTTCAATTGTTTATCTACAGTTTGGAGTAGTTGAATATTTAATTTATTAGAATGTGGATTAATTAAATTTTTTATAGATTAATGTTCAGAATAAAAAAAATTTTTAATTGATTAAAATGAGGAATAAAAAAATTTGTAATTGACTTAGAATTTGGAACAATTAAATTTTTAATTGATTGAAATGTGGAGTAATTAAATTTTTAATAGATTAACGATTGGAATAACTAAGTTTTACATTGATTAAAATTTGGAATTATTAAATTTTTAATTGTTTAAAACTTGGAATAAAATTGAATTTTTAATTGATTAAAACTTGGATTAATTACATTTTTATTTAGTTAAAATGTGTAATAATTGATTGGCATTCGGAATTATTGAAACTTAAATTAATTTAAATTTGGGACAATTGAATTTTAATTGATTAAAATGTGGAATTGAATTTTTAAATTAAAACGTTCAGAAAATATTTTTATCTTTGGACAATATTAAAAAAATCCCTGACTTTTGATTAAATTCCCTGACTTTCCCTGCCTTTTCCCTGACGGCTGGACACCCTGCTTATAAAATTAAATAAACAGTAATTACAAACGATAATCCAAGATCTACAATCAATAAGAATCGTAGAATTCAATATTTCAAATACCTTTGAATAAATTCCAATGTTTTGGATAGACACGTTGGATAAGCATATCCGAATGTGTAGTAGGAGACGAAGGCAATTAAAATTCCCTCTGATACACTAGTCGCACGAATAATAATTTTTTTTCCAGAATGACGCAAAAACTTGCATTGCTATCATACAAAGACGTGCCTGTAAGAAATATATTAATTAGAAAAATTCCTTATATAAATTTTCAGTATTTTATAAAGAAGAAATTATAAAATTCTTACACATTTTTTTTCAAAAAATTGTCTTAAATCTATTTTTTGAAAAGTGGTGCTCAATTACTATTTCACTATATTTAAATAGAATAGATTTATTTTACACACCTCTTACAATTCAATGAGGATAAACTGCCGCTTCCGTAAGCATTTCTTCATCAGTAACAGAATCCTAAACACAGAGAAGCTATTTAAATAATATATTATCGAAAATTTATGACAATATTATTAAAATTTTTAAGTCTGGTGAAAATAAACCAAAAAAAATCATGTTTACCTGTCAATATGTTACATTAGTTTATTTTTTACGGTACTTATAGCGTGTGTGCATTAATAAACAAAAACACGTCCAAAAATCGATGAATATAAAAAAAATAAAACCCAAATGTCATGAAATAAAAAGAGCCAAAATGGAATAAAAATAAAAACTTCTTTCAGGTTATTTAAAACGTGAAGTAAACTTGAAGTTATTAAGACAATTACATTTCAAAACTAATTAAGAAATAAAAATATACAGTAATAAATGCAATTTTGATGAGGTAAAAGATTTTTTGACATAACCTACAAGCTGTCATTCTCTGAAAAACTTTCCAGACAGCATTTATATAAAGTATCTTAAAAAACCAAACAATAGAAAGAACAATCAGTGTCTTTCTGTTCTACTTGTTTACAAAATTTAAATTTACTTACAAGAATAGAAAAAAAATGGCCCAAGTAAACTATTAAACCGTCCATTGACGTAGAATATTTCATGCCCACTTGTAAAGAAATCACAATTAATTGTTTTAAAAATTGGTTATTTATTTTAAATACCACCATCAAATTTATATTGGAACAAGAAACTAGCGTAATTCACTTTAAAAGAATATACTTAAAATAAAAGAAAACACGTAAAATTATCCAAGCATTTACCTTTAACTTTAGGCTTGTAAACGCCATTTTGTTCGTCCCTAGTACGCATGCGCGAACATTTGTTCCGTATTAACCTCCATGAGATGGCACAAGGACGCGGACTCGTTTTTCAAAAGTGTATATTATTTTTTATGTGTTAAAAAAGATTTGATTTTACAACCCATTCTTAGAGAAACCCAAAATCAATAAGAAAATATATGAGCAGTGACAACCGCATAAATAAACCCTGCAATGTATTTTATTATTTTCCATTTAGAAATATATTTTTCTCTTCTTTTAAGGAGGGTCACGACCATTACATAACCTCAAAACTAAACAATGCTTTTTAACCCTTTCGTGCCTCCGGTACATATATGTACCACTTATAAAATTTGATATAACTCTTACAAATTTAACCCAATCAGTAATTCCAATGGATAGTTTTATTGACAATCGTTATTACTATATGTTAAAAAATAGAAAACAGTATAATACAGTTATAATTATTTTAAACAATAGGTACAACATTGATAAAAAATTAACAAAAGTTATATATCAATAATGTTAAGTCATTCATTTAGGCTTCATCCGTTTTTAACAACACATTGACTCCTAATATTTTCGAGGTCGCTGATTACGAAACTGGAGTCAGATTTTCAAAATGCAAAATGGCGGATCCAATATGGCGGTCGAATATCCAAAATTTTATCTGTTCTCTTCAAATTCGTCACTCGGGGGTTTTTGGGGTCGCTGATTACGAATCTGAAGTCAGATTTTCAAAATTCAAAATGGCGGATCCAATATGGAGGAATAAATTTCAAAATTTCACCGATTTCCCTTAAAACTCATCACTCGGGGGTTATTAAAATTATTATTTTATTAAACTAATTATATTGAAATTAATAATTTTATTTTAATCACCATCTGAAAATTATATTTAATTAATTTCTTTTATATTAATTGAACAATTTTTTGTATTTTGTTATATGTAAAGCTTACATCGAATTTGAAAATTCGCGAGACTCACATGATAATGAAATTCATCCACCTTGTTAAAATAGGGTTCTTGGCGAAGGTTTACTGTAAAAAAAACCTAACGCGCCTTATTCGGAACCTCTTAGGTGGTGTGGAAGACCGTCACCGCTGCAAACAATTGATTTGAAAGTGAGAAAAATTTAAAAATTTCTAAAAAATTTTTGAACAAACTCCATCCGTCATTTAGAATTTTGAAAATCTGACTGCAGATTCGTAATCAGCGACCCCAAAAACCCCCGAGTAATAAGTTTTAAGTGAAACCGGTGAAATTTTGAAAATTAGTCCGCCATATTAGATCGGCCATTTTGAATTTTGAAAATCTGACTTCAGATTCGTAATCAGCGACCCCAAAAACCCCCGAGTGATAAGTTTGAATGGAAACCGGTGAAATTTTGAAAATTAGTCCGCCATATTGGATCCGCCATTTTGATTTTTGAAAATCTGGCTTCAGATTCGTAATCAGCGACCCCAAAAACCCCCAAGTGATGTGTTTTAAGGAGAACAGATAAAATTTTGAAAATTTGTCCGCCATATTGGATCCGCCATTTTGAATTTTCGAAATCTGACTTCAAATTCGAAATCAGCGACCCCAAAAACCCCCGAATGATGAGTTTTAAGGGAAACAGATAAAATTTTGAAAATTTGTCCGCCATATTGGATCCGCCATTTTGAATTTTCGAAATCTGACTTCAAATTCGAAATCAGCGACCCCAAAAACCCCCGAATGATGAGTTTTAAGGGGAACAGATAAAATTTTGAAAATTTGTCCGCCATATTGGATCCGCCATTTTGAATTTTCAAAATCTGACTTCAAATTCGAAATCAGCGACCCCAAAAACCCCCGAGTGACGAGTTTCAACAAAATCTATAAGCTAGGTTGCCCGGGGGCACGAAAGGGTTAACGCAAAACAAGGAAATAGTAAAAACTAATTTTAAACTATTTCAGAAAATCCAGTTACATACTTTCCAGAAAAAATTACGTTAAGTCGAAATCTTTGGCGAAGTAATAATTTTTTGGCATTTTGACTTTTTTCCTTTAGATCAGACAAAAGTCGCAATTTTCATCCAATTTTGATAAACAATAGTTTCTTTTACTCAGTGAAACATTCTCTACAAACGTAATTATTTTCCAATTCTTGAAAGTATGTTATTAAAAAATTATAAACAATATACATAAATTTTATTTATTAAATAATTTGTTAACAACATACTTTCAACAATTGGAAAATGATTACGATTGTACAGAATGTTTCACTGAGTAAAATAAGCTATTGTTTATAAAAATTGGATGAAAATTGCGATTTTTGTCTGATCTGAAAGAAAAAAGTCAAAATGTCAAAAAAAAAATTATTTCGCGAAAGATTTTGACTTAACGTAATTTTTTCGAAAAGTATATAACTAGATCTTCTGAAATAGTTTAAATTAATTTTTACTACTTCTTTGTTCTTGTTAAAAAAACATTGTTTAGTTTTAAGGTTATGTTATGGTCACCACTCTCCTTAAGTATACGGAATATATCCCCACAGCACACACAGAAATTCTTCAAAGATTACAATAATCTAGAAATTAGTTAAAGAGTTCGAAAAAAAGAACCTGAAAAAATTTTAATTTTTTTATAAGGAAATCCATGTGGATTTCTTGCGTAAATTTTTCAAAATTTTTATAACATTTCGTATGGAATTTCTCTCACATGGGGCTGAAGAGTTGTCACTTAAATAAATTTATTTATTTTTTAATTATTTATTTATAAATTATTTTAAACAAATTTTCTATGAAATAAATATAATACGAAAACTGTGAAATATTCAAGTATTAAGACGATATATTTGTGGCACAAATATAACAGTTAGATACATATACTTTTATTAATTGTACTTCAAACAATGAGAGATAATAATAAAAATAATAATACTAATAATAATAGGAGTTAGTAGAATTTATGGTGATAGACGTGGAACAGAGGATATACTGACAATATTTGTTTGTCTACATAAGTGATAAAACTTAATTTTCTTTACTTTGTGGAATGAAAAATTTAAGTCAAAGACAGTATTAGTTTTAAATAATAATAGGAACAACTTCTGTTCCAGGCCAATAAAAAATAAACCATTTCTACGTATATTAAAAAAAATTATTAATTTTAGAAAATTAAAATTTAAAGAAAAAATTTAATTAATATCAAAATTAGTGCACATAACTCTTGGAAATAATTATATTATTATATAAATTTAAAATTGATAAATTAGGTTATATAAATATAGGAAATGAATATATAAATATATATGTATATATTTATTTTATATTACATAAAAATGTAAAAGAATTAAATAATTTACTTACTTTTTTCCTATTTCAATTGTGAAAATTTATTAGGTTGAAAAGCATCCGCTCTGATCTTGAAGCAACTTGTTCAAAAAAATCACTAATAATTGTATAATTTCTATCAACTTTTCTTTTCACGATTTTGTACTATTCAAACCATAGCACAGAGGATACTGACAATATTTATCTAATATAAGCGCTAGAAGCATTTCAGAGCCCCAAGAAAGTTGTTGACAATAACAAACCATTCATTTTCATTTACACATCGATTATTCTAAGCTGTTAGGAACATTACCATATAGATGTACATTACAAAAAATTAATTTACATGCATCTTGAAATTAATATACCATGGTATATTAAATGTGTTTTAAATTTACAAATATCAAGGACTAATACACTGGTATATTCAGAGCCATATTTGTAATAGAGGCCAATAAGGCCATGGCCTAGGGGCGGGCGGATTTTAGGGGCGGCAAAATATTGAAATAAAAAATTTAAAAAAATTTTAAAATGTGTTAGGTAAAGTCGAAAAAAGTTAAAAATAGAAAAAAACGGAACATAGTTTACATGTGACTTTATCTGAATACCAGGGGACAACTTTCGATCGTAGCGCCAATCTGATAATCAATTTCAGGAACTTCTCTTTTCTTCATACTGCTCAACACTCCCACCTATTAAGTTTGTAAAACTTTTTGGTTATGACTTTATGTTTACATATTGTTCTTGTTGTTGTTGACATATTGTAAATGAAAGTTAAATTACTTAAATTATGTCTTCTAAAA